TTCGTTTAGATCATCTATTGGATTTTAAATTTATTAATTCTTATATTTGCCATGTCTATAAGGTTTTGAGTATTGTTCTTCCTCCTTCAACCATATGCCTTAATGACTGCATATGGGCAAAATAGCCCTGAAAGATTTTGGACCATTTATTTAGGTTTTATCGTAAATAGGAAAAGAATATGAATGGTTCAGATTTAATAAAATTCTCTGGTTGAAAAGAGTCAGGTAATTTCCATTCCTTTTCCTGTGAGTTGGATGCTGCAATTATCGATAGCGACCGGAAACTGTAATCTCATGCTACTAAAATATTTTTGGCTCTTTTTATTTAGTAATGGACGCATTAAATAATCTATTTTATATAGTGGATCTTACACCATTGTTAAATGTTGTTGATATTGCGACTAATGAATGGGAGTTATATCGAAAGTTTTTCATATTATTATAGTATTAGAAAGAAAAATTCACGCTTTTCTTTGTATGGTTGAAATGTACTGATAAAATCTAATATTTTTTATTTCTTTTTTTATCAAAAAAAAAAATATATATCACATGTTACATTTCGAGAACTAATGCAACTATTAGTCAGTCTGTTGGTGATGAAGGAGTGAAAATGTGTTGAATAATTGTTTATCTTCATTTAACATTTTTGATGTCTTTTTTAAAATATTTTTTTTGTTTGAGTTTAACACTAACTATGGGGTGGAAGATCCATCAATCTTATAGTTACAAGTGCTTTATCCATTTTAAGCTATACTTGATATATATTTAATTGTTTTTTTAATTAGAAAATGATGATAATTCAATCTTCTCGTGTATTTATCGTTGCATTCTTCTTCTTTTGTTTTGGCTGATACTTTTCGACTTTCAATGTGAAGATGCAAAATTTTATGAGTAAATCAACGAGAATTAGGTATTTACACTACACTGATGATATACCTTTTGTTATGCTAGAGGTATCCAATTAAAAAATGATAAGTCAAAGGTCGAAGCAATTCTATAACATGAAAGGTCTGCTTCATGATCAAATTAAAAAATTTGGTGACCCCCAACAGATTTATACTGCCATTTATTGCGTGTTGCAATATGAAATTAATGCAAAGCGGAAATGTGGAGACATTTAAGTGAAGTCGAGCAACTTTCAAATGGGTCGTTGATTTCAATTAAAGAGCCTCCTTTTACTGGAGTTGACAATTCACGTTGTGTTCTTGATCTTATAAATTATTCCAATTTTGTATTTTTCTTTCAACTCTTCATGAATTATATTACACTGGAAAAATCAAACTGCAAAATTTCAGAATTTGTCAATAGACATGACTTGATACAGATATATTCATAGAGCTCCACAGTTCACACGCGAACAAAATTTTGCTTCTCAAGAATTATGATCAACTATTCTCAACTTGTGTCTCAACTCAAGAGATAAATTATTTGATATAACCATCGTTTTTACTTTTCCAACTATTAAATATTTCACAACTCACTAACTTTTTTTAATTTTTTTTTATTTTTGTATTCTCTCACTTCATATTAAATATTCAAATATTTAATAGTGTTAAAAGAGTTCCTCTCTACCGTAGGTAGCCAAATTTTTTCCAAAATCATATTCATCCAATCCATTATTGCGTTGACACACTGAACCTTAGCTTTCTGTCTCCCTCTTTTCCAGTGTGTATGGCTTTGAATTTGAGAGAAGATCTGGCAGAGATTGAATAGTCCCAAGTTTTGTTGTTCCTTTTTGGGTGATGCAGCAAAGCAAAATCTTAGTAGTAGGCGAAGCAGTCGCTATTTTGTGTTTCTTCAGATTCCACAGTGTCTGCATTTTCTTGTTGTGTCTTTGATTTCTCCGAAGATAGTGGAAGGAAATCTTTGTACTTTCTTCAACTTGTCGCCGTCGCCATCGCCATCGCCCCCTGAAAAGGCTACTGTATACTATATAAACATATCAAATTTGCTTACCTTTTGGGTACGAATTAAGCAAAAATCATCATTTCTTACGTTTTTAGTTGTGTGTTGTTTCAAAGAATAATGGGTTTTGGATGGTGGAGTTTTCTTGCTCCTGCTCTTGCTGCATTTCTCTTCTTCCATGGCCTTTGTTCCTCTGAAAAAGGTATTGCCTTTTTTTTCTTTTTCTTTTTTTGCCATAAATTTTCATAAGAATTAAATTGCTCGTTGATAACCCTTTTATTATTATTATTATTATTATTTTAAAATTAACCTTATAAACACTGTATTAATTTTTATGTTAGTACATACTTTTACTTTTTAAAATCTGGGCCTAAATTTGAAAACGGACCAAAGTGGTTTTCAAAAAAAATTTGTTTCTATTTTTAGAATTGAGCTAATAATAATGTAAATGTGTTTTAAAGAAATTGTGAATATAAATAAGCATACTTTTCAAAACTAAAAATAAAAGGGTTATTTAATTTGTGTAACATTTTCATTTTAAATTATATGATAGAAATGACATAGGAGTTTTACTTTATTTATATAATCTCTTTAGTTAGACATATAATTTAGTTTCTTATATAGTTGTGTATTTAAATTTAATTTAGTCTCTCACCTCTTGGAGGCAATGAATTAGTAAAAATTTAGAACAAAAATTATGCAACTTCAAAATTAATGCCAAATTTCAGGGTTAATTATTTCTTGAATTTGGACTGATCTCTGTAGTGTTTGTACAGCTCCAAATTTCAGTTTCTTGCTAAATGCAACGTCGGCTCCGGCGGTATCATACTACGACTACATCATCGTCGGCGGAGGGACGGCGGGGTGCCCGTTGGCTGCGACGCTGTCGGAAAACTACACCGTTTTACTGATCGAACGCGGCGGCTCCCCTTACGGAAACCCCAACATCACCAACTTATCGGCATTCGGCGCCGCACTCTCCGATCTCTCCCCCTCTTCACCTTCCCAGCGTTTCATCTCCGAGGACGGTGTCATCAACTCCCGCGCCCGCGTCCTCGGCGGCGGGAGTTGTCTCAATGCCGGATTTTACACACGCACCTCCCCGGATTACGTCAGGTTCAACTACAAATCACAATTTAATTAACTACGACTTCAAATTTTATTTTAATTACTGTATTTTTTAAAACTAGCTGTCTTGATTATATTTTAACTTATATTCTATATACAACAGAATATTCTTTTTATAAAGTTATGACTATATTTTAACACAAAATAAATGAGACGTTTTGAGAGAATTATTAGATACAAAATTGAAAATTTCAGAGAGGCGGGATGGGAGGAGAAGTTGGTGGAGGAGTCATACGAGTGGGTGGAGCGAGTGGTGGCGTTCGAGCCGCCGATGGGGCAGTGGCAGTCGGCGGTGAGGGCTGGTTTAGTGGAAGCCGGGGTGGTGCCGGATAATGGGTTCACCTACGATCACTTATACGGGACCAAGGTGGGTGGAACCATTTTCGATCCTGAAGGCCACAGACACACGGCTGCTGATCTATTGGCCTACGCCAATCCTCATAATCTAACCCTCCTACTCTACGCCACCGCCCATAGGATCCTTTTCACTACCCGAGGTACCTATTTTTCTCATATACCGGATTTAATCTTAATTTGGTCTTTATAATTTTTATAATTCAAACGAATTTCTTGAATCGTCCATTTCATTATAAGTTGTTATCGTATTGAGAGTATAAGGACAAATTTTATAACTATTTAATCTCTATCGTGAACATTTTTGTTAAGTTTGTTGTATATATAGATGAATGAGGGATAAATATGTTTATAAATTATAAATATTAAATCATTATGTGATATAAATCGATCCTTAATTTTGATAATACTTTTTAATAGGGACTAGATTGTTATAAATTTTAAACTATAGAAATATTAAAGTGTTACGTACTAAAATCTAAGGGATTAAATTGTTATCAATTTAAACATACAAAAACTAAAAACTAAAAGGCATTATTTGACCAAATGTATTTTTTTACCTAAGGTTTATAACTAAATAAAAAAAGAAGAAGTAGATTAAAAATAAAAAGTTTTGGAATGGTTTGCGAGGTTTAACGAAGTCGGGGAGACCAGATTGAAATTAAAATGAGGCTAAATCAAAATTGAAATGCTTGAGATGTGATCAAATTGGTAATTTAGTGTTAAACACTATTTAGTTTTCCGGGTCAATTTCGTCATTTCCATTTGTTTTTGTTGATAGGAGAAGGGAGGCCCAGGGCCCACGGAGTAGTGTTCGAAGACTCGAACGGGAGAAAACACAGCGCCTACCTCAAGAATGGGCCGAAGAACGAAATAATAGTGTCAGCGGGCTGTCTTGGAAGCCCACAACTTCTGATGCTAAGTGGGCTGGGCCCAGCAGAGCACCTGAAGGCCCATAACATAACAGTGGTGTTGGACAAGCCCACGGTGGGGCAGAGGGTGTCGGATAACCCCATGAACGCCGTTTACATCCCGTCCCCGGTCCCGGTGGAGGTGTCCCTGATTCAGGTGGTCGGAATCACCCATCTCGGAACCTACATCGAAGCCGCCAGCGGCGAGAACTTCGCCGGCAGCCCCTCCACCAGAGATTTCGGCATGTTCTCCCCCAAGGTACACAACACATAATTAATAAATTTAATTAAAATCCCTTTAATTTCTCCAATTAAGCGGTGAGATTGCAGATTGGGCAGCTGTCGACGATGCCGCCGAAGCAGAGAACGGCGGAAGCCATCGCGAGAGCGGTGGAGCAAATGAACAGCCTAGACGAAGCCGCGTTCAGAGGAGGCTTCATTCTGGAAAAAATAGCGGGTCCAGTGTCGTCGGGTCATCTGGAGCTCCGAACCCGGGACCCGAACGACAACCCGTCCGTCACTTTCAACTACTTCAAAGAAGCCGCGGATCTGGAGCGGTGCGTGGCGGGCATGACCCTGATCCAGCGGGTAATCGAGTCGAGGGCGTTCGCGAAGTTCCGATACGGCAACGTTTCGGTGGCGGCGCTTCTGAACATGACGGCGAGCGCGCCGGTCAACCTGGTGCCGAAGCAGGGGAACGCGACGAGGTCGCCGGAGGAGTACTGCAGGGAGACGGTGATGACGATCTGGCATTACCACGGCGGTTGCCAAGTCGGGTCGGTGGTGGATTCGGATTACAGGGTTTTTGGAGTGGATTCGTTGAGGGTTGTTGATGGATCCACTTTTCATGATTCTCCCGGAACTAACCCTCAGGCCACCGTTATGATGCTCGGCAGGTATCTTCGTTCATCTCCTTACCACCTTTATTAAGTTTAAAACGCAGTCTCGAGAATTAAATAGATACAAAATAAGCGCTTTTTAAAAGTTATAATTTTAATTTAGTAACCTGTCAGTTACTTTTTAATTTTGAAAGTTTAGAGACAAAAAATTTATAATTCAACTATATAATATTTTATAGATGCTTTAATCATTGAAATAGACTTAAATTTACCAGACAATAAAAAAAAGGTTTTCAAGGACAATTCATGAGGTTTAACTTTTTTAAATTGAAACTTTGGACCAAATTAAGATTAAACTAAGTTCAACCTCACACAATGGTGACTACAAATTAAGACTACTTTCGAATCACAGGGACTAAATTGGTCTAGGAACCAAGTTAAAAATAAGTAAAAATTATAATTATATCAAATTTGTAACCTTATTTTGTTCTTAAATGGTTTATTAGTAACGGCATGAGTAAGATGGTGAGATTATTAATTTGGTTTTTGGCAATGTCGCAGGTACATGGGAGTTAGAATATTGAGGGAAAGGCTTGAAAGCATCACTCAAAAATAAAATGATCAAAGAGAGACAATTTTTATATATCCAATGCTTATATATATTGTTCTTTCCGCGGTTAATTTTAAGCTCATTTGAAACCTTATAAAACTATATGAGATTATTGAGGTTGAGGAATTCAGATGGTTCTACTTTTTCTTTTCCATATAATGAGTTTATTTAAATGTAATATACTATAGTTTGTGGTCATTTTAATGTAATATACTATATGAGATTATTGTTATGTAATTTATTTGTCAATTCAATATAAATATCAATTTAATATAATAAAATAATAAAAACAATAAATTAAAGAAAAATAGAAAATTTGTTTAAAAAAAAAAGTAATGGAAAATCATAATCATGCAATAAACATAAAACAAAAACAAAGAAATAAAAGTAATTTAATTTAATATAATAAAATAATAAAGAAAAACAGGAAACTCGTTTAACAAAATAAAAAATTGAAAATCCTACCCTAAACGACAAAATCAATGTAATATAATATACATATCCTAAAAATCAAATATAATCATGATATGAATAAAAAAAACCATGAATAATAAATAAATCAAAAAAATAAACTAACCTTTTCTGTAGGTGGTCCCAAATTGAAATTGATGAAGTGGTAGTCCCTATATTTTGTTAAAACTAAATTATTGCAAAGAAAACAAAACAAAACAACAAAAAAGAGTGGAATATACTNGGCGATCTCCGGGGTCCAGTGCGGCGGCAGTGGGTATAGTGGTGCGGCGAATGGTGGAATTTCTGAAGATACGGTGAGCTAGGGTTTTGAAGGACGCCATTGCAGCAGAATTGGGGGGGGAAGGAAAAGAGAATGAGGGATGGATGGAAGAAGTTGAAGTTAGGTGTATTATTATTATTATTTCTGATTTTATTTGTTTATATATAGGTGTACTCCGCCCGCACGCCGCGTCTTCACAGCAAAATTAGTAACGTAAGAGATTAAATATATAACGGAAAAGGAAAAAACAACTTTTCCTTTTTCTTTTTTTATTTTTATTTTTATTTTCCTCTTCCGACTCGGACTCGGAAAAAGATTAATTTTCTATGTTGGTTGGATAATACGTGAGATTTTGAGTTTTCGGTTTTCATAAGAGATTTTGAGTTTATCTACTAAAGTCACGTACGCGGCAGCCGGGCGATGATGATAAGGAGAGTTGTTATTTTGATGATTAGGAAATCAAACGAAATCAACAAAAACTTAAATAATTAATTAATTAATTTTAAATTTCAGGATTTTAACCTTAAATTTTAATTTAATTTCTATCGTGTGAGTTAACTTTGAATTTAATCAATGTAGCTTATTTAAACCTTACAAATTGTTTATGAACTATTATCCAATACAAACCTGTTATTATGTAAAATGAAAAATTAATAGTAAAGTTTATTACTCACCGAGTTTGGTTAAACTACATGAATCAATTTGAAACTTTTTAAAATTATATTGAACTAAAATCAAACTATGAGAATCAAATTGAAATTTTTAAAAATATTGAGACATAATGAAGATAAATTCATATCATAGATACTCAATTGAAATTTTTAAAACAACCAATATTAAAATTGAGATGCCTCGAAATCATTCGGACCAATGTTTTAGTTTAACTTGAAAAAACCTCAAACACACATATATATATTTATTATGAAACTTAGGTAGCTAATGAAAAAAAATACTAAAAATAAGAAAAAGAAATTGTTTCCTTTTAGGTAGAATTATAAGTTTTGTTCCCAATTATTTAAACATTAGGTCCGTATACCTCTAAATTTAAAAAAACTAGAGACATTAAACTATAGTTATTGTCTCCAAATACCAAAAAGAAAAAATAAAGAAAAAAATGAATATGAAAATCTATGAGATAGGATTTGGATGAAACAATATCAAATAACCATAGTTTTCCAGATTACAAATAAATAATTAGATATAATTAGAGCTAAATTAGATTTGAGTTGGATAATAAGATTGAATTAACTATGCACCTAAAACTCTAATTTATCCAACTAATTATCATGCTATCAGAAATAAAATTTATCTAATAAAGCATCACATTGACATTTTAATATAATTGAGATATGAGGACTGAAGATAAGCATAATCTAAAATCTAAAAATGTAATCATTTTTTTAAATTCAATGATTTAATAAACAAATGAAACTTATATTGTTAAATTTTTACCATAGGTTTCGAGTCAAAGCTAATTTTTAAATTTTATAATTTTATAACACAAAACACTATTTGAAAATTGAAACTTGTATTTTCAATTCAGTCAGGCATTTGAGAGCAAAAAACACGTGGTAAATGGAAATGGCATTTGAATGTAAAATTATTATTTTGACAAAAAAAAAAACAATTAATAATAAAGGGAAAAAAATCGGACTTTCAACTTTGACATTTTTTAGTCGGCACCGGCAGTCAGGTCGCAACGTTATGTATGTGGCGACACGTCTGCGTGAAAAACAAACATATCTATCATGCCTGATTTAAAAAAAGGAAAAAAAAGGCATGGTCGTCTCTTATGATTAATTTAAAAAAAAATTAATGTGGCGCTGAGTAAGCGCCACGTTTGTTGGTCGTCTCTTAAAGAGACGACCAACTTATGCCAGCTCATAGGTCGTCTCACGACCTATGAATTTCAAAACATTATTTTTGTAATTAGTTTGAGATGAGGTATATTTTGGTAAATATTTTAAAAATTAACATTATTAAAAAAAATCCGAGTTTTACATATAACTTTAAGCACTTTTTACATATTTTCTTAAGTAATTATCTCTTGAGTGTTAATCATTTAATTTTTTTTTTCTGAATAATCATCTTTCACGCTTTCTTTAAAAAGGATTTTTTTTAACCAATCCAATCTAAAATTTTAATTAATTAATTTATTTATTTATTATCCAACATTGGAAATTTTTTAAAAAGTATTTTTAGTTATCTAAATTCATTTATCAAACACTCAAACACACTATCTAAATGAGTAGTTTTCCCATAATTGCAGATGAATTTATTTAAAAGCACTTTCTTTCCCCTAAGAGGACGTTTGAGCCACAGATTCAACTTCGGGTTCATGGTTCAAAAGTAATTTTGTATTATTTCCAAACATGAAAATTTCGAGTAGATAAAAATGAAAAAGGAGGGAGAAAGAGGAATATGACATAGGATATTCCGAGTTTAGTTGAGGTAAAAGAAAGAGCATCTTCTTCTGTATTACCGTTTTTGCACCCTCATTTTGACAGAGGGATAGAGAGACGAAAGGAGGATTGATGAGTCAAAATCATTAAGAGAGGATTGGTAGGAGAAGAATCTGCAAGAGGGTAATGGGTTATTGGCCTTTTTATGAGAAAAAAACACAAAGGGAATGCGTGGAAAGAAGGCACTGTGGGAAAGAAAATGAAAAGGATATCCAATGGCATATGCTTACATATTCCATATCCCAAACACACATAATATATTCTTCTCTACTTCCTTTTTTCCTCCCACAAACTAAACTCACTCCCTTCGATAATTCCCACTTCCCTATAAAGCTCTCTTAGTCGTGGCGCTGCATAAAGTATAACGCTCTGCTCTAATTTCATCTTCATCTTCATCTTCATCGTCTCTTTTTTCTCTCTTCTAAAACTTGGGAGAAGAAAGCAACATTATTTTTTAAGCCAACCAGCAGAAGGGCTTCTCTCATTTGGCAGGCAAATGACGATAATGCAACTTCACCCATCACTCCTGTCCTGCCAAAGGAGAGTTGCCCTCCATCTGGTTTTGGCTTACTTCTTTCTACTGCATGCGCTAATTTAACCATAACTTTTAACCTTCTTCTTCTTTGCAGTCTCCTATCTCCATTGATGCTACTCTACTTTTTAGTAAAGGATGAGAAGTTTGAAATTATTCCATTTATATTAGCCCCTTCTGGACCTCTCTAATTTCATGGATTGTTATGCAACTGCAAAGTTGGAGTTCTCTTAGCATCTTGAGTGGTAACAGGTATATATGAATGGTAAAATCATGGTTGAATTTAAAAGTTTGAGTTGATGTATTACAATAAATTTAATATTTATCCATATTCTAACACTCTGATATGAAACTTTAGGGAGTTGTAGATAAAATTCTTCCCACACGACCGAAAGAGGACCCTTGACTATCTAACACCCAAAAACCCCAAAATTAATTTAGCATAATCTTGAGAGAAAGATTAAAGGATGGATTACCTTGTTGATCGAATACCAAGAGGTGAGGAAAACTAATTTCCTATTCAAAGTTGAACACTTCAGAAGAAGGTTGATCAAACCTAACTTCAATGCTACAAACTTGCAATTGCAACATGAACCAAGAATTGCAAACAAGATGAGGGTGTCTGTCGTACCACTATTTCTCAATTCTTCTGACGCTGTTGTCTGAGGACCTTGAGGTACATGCCTTAACATCTATGAAAGAGTGATTCGACCGACCATGTACCTTAAGGTCCTCGACATTGGAAATAATATTATAATTATCACTTCACCTCACCCTACAATATAATAGTACTACTCTTTGATGTTTAAAGCGAAATGTATCTCTCAGGAACTGATTTCTAAGGGCGAGAGGTTTTTGGCAATTGGTTCCATCCCTTTCCCGAATTAAGGATGATAGTACTTAATTGAGTTTAGTTATTACTCGGAAGTATTTACTAACTACAAATGTGGGTATAAAGATTTTGAATTTTTTACTTTGAGAAAAATAGATGCTATCTTTGTTTTTTGTTTTTTTGGCAAATGTAAGTATATTACAATGAATATAAGGATTTCACTGTCTAAGATCAAACTATAAAAAAAAAAAAAAAAACACACCACATGCCTAATAAACAAGACACAACATTAACAACACTCATTTATGGAAAGAAGTCTCGAGCATTTCCTACCCATAGTAGGAATTAGAATGAATACTATGATGTCAAGTAGTACTACAAACATAATTAAACTATCATTCTGAACAAGATATAAAATAACTAAGATTGAACGATAAGTACTCCCATGAATTCTGAAGTTACATTTTCTCAAAATATAAGAAATAAAGGTCGTCGAAGCTCCTCCATAGTCTACATCTACATCTAGGTGGAGGATTTTTCCTATTGCGACAAATTCAAGCTAGTTCAGTACTCTATAAGTAAATTGGAGTGGAGCTCTCGAAGCAATTATACCATCTCAAACAACTTTACTAAACCTACACTCAAAGCTAAGCTGATGTTGATGCTTGGAAAAGCTTCTTGAGCCTCATTTGACCAAATCACACTTTTGGATGAGCCCATGCCCTACACCAAGCCCCTCTTCTGCAGGAATTAGCACTGTCCTATTAAGTCTAATATCATCAAATATTTGTTTTGTCAAGGTTGATGTGTCATCCTACCTTATCATAATTCCAATGCATATTCATTTTGCATTTAGCCCACTTTTTTAGTGGCACCAATAGAAAACTTTGAAAAATTTTCGATTGGTCGCTTGACTTACCGTGTTATGTTTATATAGTCTTTATACTTTAAAAGAGTTTCTAATAAATACTTATCATAAATTCAATTAATATGTACCTGACATGTTAAAGTATAAAAAGGTCGGGTTAAACTATAGATTAGTAAGATGATCGCCTAAGGACTCTAGTTAGAAGAGCATTAYAATTTTAATATAAATATAATATATAATATATAGTATAATATTATTTTGCAAAGTATAGTATAATATTATTATCTATTTATTTTACTTTTTAGTTATAAATGAAATTTAAAATTAGTGTAGGCTATTTAGAGACTATAATTACATAAAAAGATTGAATTGAATAAAATTTACACTAACCACAGGTACCCATCACTTAATTTACTAATATATCCTTTTGTATCTCACATCAATATTAATTAATTTTTAAAATCCAAAATTGATTACTTTAGAGAGTTACATTTTAAATCCTTTAAATTTTGCCTAACTAGACTTTCCAGAACTAAAAAATATCAAATCCCCAAAATACTCTAGTGTTGAAAAAATTCAAAAATCTCCTTCGTCCGACTTTTCTTCTTCCTCTGTCGTTCTGTTTTTGTCCATTCCTTTGTCTCTGGTCGCCGTCTGGGTTCCTTCATCTCCGGTCGCCGTCTTCGTTCTTCTTCGTCGTCGGAACAGTCTGTTTAGCTTCTCCTTCGTCTCCGGTTGCCCGTCCATTGTTTCCGTCTGTTTTTCCCGAGGTTTCTTTTTTGTCGTTGGTCATCCATCGACCATTCGAGCCCTCCATTTATTCTGACCATTGTCTAGTCGCCGACCGAAAGGTTTGTAGGTTATTTGCTTTGTTTGTTAATTGTGGAGAGATATAGTTGTATATACTTTATAGTCAGATATAGGTTATGTCTTCATATAAGTCTATGTTAATGACTACAGTTTATATCACAATTGTTAAATGTATATTGCTTAAGTTTATAGCCAGATATAATTTATATTTCTATATAAATGAAAAGGTAGTCGTATATAGTTTAAATCTCCACATAAATAAATAAACAAATATATATATATATACACACACACATACATATACATACATATAAGTGTATATTATAACGACTATATTATTGAAATTTGGTCAAAAATTGTAATGAAATGAAAAAATATTTTGTAATAAATTTTCTTTAGTATAATATATTAAGGAGTAAATTAAGGGATTATCAGAATGATTGATTTAGGTCCCACAATAATTTAATCTTTACGAAATCAAATTTAGAATATTAATCTTTTGCATTTAAATAAAAGACTAATTATAATAAATATAAATACAATAAATAAGGGTAAAATCGGAATTAAAATAAAATCTTACATGCTACAATTAGAAAATTTTATACATTTGTGTAAATAAGTTTCTAAAACAGCCCTCTAAAGACATTATCTCTATAAAATAATATATGTTTCATAATTTTTTTTTGGTATAATATTGATACAAACTAATAATTTATATAATTTCTTTTAAAATAAAAAATCTAAAATCTGAGCTAATAAAAATTTCCCAATTTTAATTAGAATACCATTTAAAATTTGTTTACTTTTATCTTTTTTTTTTCCTTCAACTCCTTTCAATTTTCTTTTAAAACTCTCTCTTTCTCAATCTCTCATGCCTCAACTTTTCACATTCAATCTTCTACGTGGTCTCGTGACTTCGAGTGTGATTATAAATTGCTAGAGTAGAAATCCTTATTTGCTCAAATCAATCTAGCGACTTCAAAATTCTAAATCTTTTCGTTCCAAGTTTTTTCATTCAAATTATTATTTTTGTTATAATTTCAATTGTTGATTGTTCAATATCTTAATATGTGAGATTTGTTAGATTTACTCACTTAGGAAATCAATATTTCTACAATAAAATATAAATTTGGATATGAAAAGCTTAAAGAAGAAAGGAAGAATAGAAAAACATATTGTAATATATATGAAACTTTTACTTAGAATATCAGGTCTGATGCATTCTGATTATAATATATATAATCTCGAGAAAATATTGATTCTAAATTAATTAATTTATTGGACCTCTTGTTGATTCATCAGTGCCGGCGTCTGCGGCAGTGCCTCTTGAGCTGCCACCTGTTAAAGATGAAAATTAGAAACTAACTGAAGATTAATCTTGGTTCAACATAGAAATAATGAATCTAGGAAGAAACACATATTTAATATGAATGCTGAGGTTGATTACAAATTAGATTGTTAAAAAATAAAACAATTCACAGAGATATTCAAGAATTAACCAATAAAGGAAAAGAACATTGGAATAAAATATTAACAAGAATTATTGTTGTTAAAAATTTTGATATATTCTATATGAAGGGAAGTCCGCTTCAGTCGTTTGAGTCTTTGACAACCACTCTCTCCTGTGGTCTCACTATCAAAGTTGTGTTTAAAGCTCCTATCACCTTGATTATAGGATTGGTGTGTCATGAAAAACCAAACTAATATAGTATTTGGTGTGTTAGGTAAGAACTAAACTAATATGGTAGATGTTGTATCAATTTATTAGATACAAAATTAAAAGTTTAATATCGTAATTATATGAAAATTTAGTAGAGCCAATTTACCATACATATACGCTATCCATTTGTAATTTACAGGCTAGCCCATGGCATTTAATTAGTTCTATTTCGAAAAATAAAAAAAAATAAAAAAACTTTTCTACAACTACAAACTTCTGAAATAATTAATACATTTATTTTATAAATCAAGCTGGAAAAAGAAGAGTTGAAAGTAGCTTGAAATTTGTAGAAAGGCAATTACTCTAGAAACGTGGTAGACTTTACATTTGTCAAAAAACTCAATTGTCTCTTCATCCTTTGTTCTTCTAAAAGCTTAGGAAAAGCCAACACAAATAATCAACCAGCTTGACGAATACGACACGTCGTTCAATGAAAGTTTTAATAAATAAGAGGTGGAAAATTGACCATTCCTTGTTTTTTTTTTTTTTTTCTCTCCTCTGATATTTTCCAAAGTCCCTCCCCTAATCTGAATTCCCAATTTCAGACTGATATTTGAGAAAGAAGAAGAAAATTATTGAGCCCACCATGAAAGAGCCATCCATCCACCCACAAGCTTTCAAATTTGCCATTTTCTGTTTGTTAGCTTGCTTCTGGAGAAGATCCCATCTTCTTCTGTATCTATTTCGAGAACAACTGCAACTGCAGCCACGAATCCAACGATTTTTTGCTTGTTTCACAAAGACCAAAAACTTGTCTGGTTTGAATTTTGATCTTTCACATTAATGTGGGATCTAATTTGGTCTCCATCATAAGGTGGTTGAGACAATTCAATTGGTGACCAAAAAGTTTGCTTCTTATCAATGTTCCAAACAGATCAAACTTCAGAACATGCAGTCTCCTTGTATTAGAGAGGCCTCACAGGCATGCCTTCAGGGCTGCTGTCGTCCTCCGTTTCTCGGTCTTCTCGATTCTTCTCAGCCTGCATTTTGCAGGTCTTCTGCTGCCACAACTCCTGCATATGTTTTTCTTGTAGCAACAGAGACGTCTCTTCACCCAAATGCTCGATTCTGCAACCATGAATCTATTCCTTCTCTAAAGGATGCGTTTACCTACTTCATTAGAGCATATCCTTTGTACTCCGAGACACAGCAGATCGATCAAATCAGAGCAGACGAATATAATCATCTTGCTCTCGCCAAACATGTCTGTCTCGATTACAATGGCCACTGTCTCTTTTCCTATGCTCAACAGCAGAGTCCAACTACTTCTTCTTATTCTCCATCAGGTTCCCCTTCTCAGTTTCTGCGTTGCCCGGGATCGCCATTCTTCAACATCTCCCACAGATCAGTGAAACCAAATCTCCAGGTGGGACAGGGTGGCCGAGAATCAGAATTTGAGTCCAGAATCAGGAGCAGAATCATGAAGTTTATGAACTTATCAGAAGATGATTATGCTATGGTGTTCACAGCCAATCAATCGTCAGCCTTCAAACTTCTAGCAGACACTTACCCTTTTCAGCACAACAAAAATTTGCTCACAGTTTATGATCACAAGAGTGAGGCAGTTGAATTGATGGTTGAAAGTTCCAAGAAGAAAGGAGCAAAAATCAGCTCCGCTGAGTTCTTGTGGCCAAATCTAGCCATCTCTTCGGGAAAATTAAGAAGACTAATCGTCAATAAGAGAAGGAAGAAGAGGAAGATGAAGAAAAGAGGGCTATTCGTTTTCCCTCTTCAGTCGAGAATAACAGGAACTCCATATTCATATCAATGGCTGAACATAGCTCGAGAAAATGAGTGGGACGTCTGCCTCGATACATGTGCACTTGGACCAAAAGACATGGAAACTTTAGGCCTCTCTCTCTTCAAGCCAGAATTTCTAATTTCTTCTTTCTACAAAGTTTTTGGCGAAAACCCATCAGGGTTTGGCTGTTTGTTCATCAAGAAATCCAATGTTTCAGTCATGGAGGATCTAATTGCTTCCCCTGCAAATATTGGTATTATAAGCCTAATCTCAACATTACAATCAGTTCCATTGCCAGAAGAACCAGAGACCCCAGAAATCAAAACCGAACGAATTGAGTCATCAACTTCACCTGAAATCGTGGAAGCCTCTGAAATTGAAGAGGAAGAGCTCTCTTTCACAGGACTCGTCACGCCCTTCGAATCGGCTCGATCGACAAACACAGAAATGGGAATAAGCAGAAGCCCAAAGCTGCACTGTAGAGGGTTGGACCACGCAGATTCAGTAGGTTTAAGACTGATAAGTGTTAGGGCAAGGTACCTGATCAACTGGCTCACAAATGCGTTGACGAATCTTGAGCACCCAAACGCAGAGGAGGGGCAAGCCCTAGTCCGAATCTACGGCCCGAAAATCGAAGTTAACCGAGGGCCGGCGGTGGCATTCAACATATTCGACTGGAAAGGGGAAAAAATCGATCCAGGGCTGGTGCAGAAGCTGGGGGATCGGAGCAATATTTCGCTGAGCCATGGGTATCTGGACCACGTAAGTTTCTGGGACAAGAACGAGGAGGAAATGGAGGTGAGAAAAGAGAGAGCGGAAGAGGAAGGTGAAAGAATCGATAGAAGGGAGAGACGACATTGTTGGATATCGGTGGTGACGGCTGCTCTTGGATTTTTGACGAATTTCGAAGACGTTTACAGGCTTTGGGCGTTCGTTTCCAGATTTTTGGATGCAGATTTTGTTGAGAAAGAGCGATGGAGATATATGGCTCTTAGTCAGAAGACGATTGAAGTTTAAAAATATGTGAAAATTAAATGAAACCCCTTTTTTTTCTCCCTTTTATTTTCACTTTTCATTTTTGTATCAAAGACATTTTTTGGAATATTAAGAGATGCAGATTCCTTAAGCTATGGTCAAGTTCCTGAAATATTGAGAAATTTTTTTTATTTTTCAGAAATTATATTATGTGGTGGAACCTTATAATCAGAGTTTATTGCCTGGACTAAATGATGTAATTAGTACACAGGTTACAAACTTGAGATCTCAAGATAAGTGATATCTCAATGCTTCCACTACTCTAACATGTTGGGTAGGAGAATTTAAACTCACAACCAATATTGGTGTATTAATTCGTTGAGTTATAAATTCTATTTGTATGTATTTTACTCCTAGGCTCTAAAGTCAAGGATTATAGTTTCTTCACCACAAAAAGATGAAAATTGCAGTTAATACGATTTTCCCATGTCTTTAATTTTTTTATTTGTCGAAAACTGCAATAAAAAGTTGACAAGATTCCAATGATGTGAGGGTAACCGGCTTCCTTACCTTAAACATTTTGTAATGACTTATAAATAGATTTTTTTACAGCTGTTTCCAAATATAGGGAAAATTTTTTGAATAATTAATTACAAATATAACCTCCACTTTTCTCATTGGCAACTGTAGTTAAAAAAAAATAAAGGTCCGCTCCCAAACAAATATATATATTATAAACTTATCATGGACAATTTTCTAAAAAACACAGACTAAAAAGTATATCATTCATATGTCAATAAGAAACTTACAATTTTACTTAAACAAAAATTGTATCGATGTTTGAAAATAATGAAAGTAAATTGAGAATGTTTGAAAATAATGAAAGTAAATTGAGAATTTTTTTTACCGTTCAATGCATTTAGCCATTTGCTTAATTCCAAATTCCAAACTAGTAACATTTTCGTTTCAAGTTTCTGTCCTTCTCACGGAGGAAAATAGAATTGCATATCAGTAGATTCAAGAATTTGGAATAAGTTAGAAACGAAAAAAGTTTCCAAAATTTCTACATGATATTGATAATGTTTCTAAAAAAACAATACACAGAAACCTTGCTAAACACCCAAAGATAACTACATTAAAGATTAACTTCAACCTTAAAAACAGAATTCATTACTGATGAAGCTCAGAAGTTCTCAGTAATATCTTATACCCAAATAAGCGACAAATACCAAAATGCCACTTCTTCATCCTGCTAAAAATGGCCTATATTATTGCCCCACATCATTTTTCAAGCTACTTTATTCAATAATGATAGGAACAAAATAATAGATATGGCATTCAAATATGGATAATAATCAAGTTCCTATGTTGGGTGGGAGAAGGCAAAGTATCTGATATTCGAGAACTCGCCAAAGATTCAAATGAACTGAAATGGCAAAGGAAAATACAAAAGAAGTACCAAGGATTTTAAGCTGCAGAAGTTTTCTGATTTGGCTTGAAGACATACTTGATGAGAGAGTCCTTGATGGACATAAGTTCGGGGAATTCGTTCTTCAACTTGGACGCGTCAAGCTCGTTGTTGCTCCTCGGGGCGACAATCACTTTGGCTTGCTCCTCCAGATTGAAGTTCTTCCATGTGAAATTGGGGTCAATGAATTGCTTGTACATCTCCAAGATCTCGTTGTGGCTCACCACTCCCGGGTTGGTGAAGTTCCATATCCCCGTGAGGTTTCTTTTTGCCATCTCGATCGAGATCGGGAGGAGTTCGTCCAAGATCGTCATCGAGTTCGGGATGTCAACCACCTTCTCGTATTTGGTAATCTTTGTAATGAAGTTGCGAGGGTTCGATAAGTCGGAGGATATAGGCATCCGAACTCGCAAGGTGCACACATTCTCATAGTTCTTCAGAAGATCCTCCACCTTTTTGACCCCCAAAATGTGAAAGTGACATAAAAACAGAATCAGCCCATCAGGCATCAGGCATCAGGGTCAATAGAAACAAATTTGATATTCTTCCTTCAAATAGCAATCAATAATCAGAATCTTCAACACAAACTATAACAATGCCTTGGATTTAACCTCCTAAACTGCTATTCTAATGAATGTAATAACACTCTAGATCGGAGCATTCACAAACAAAGTAATATCCAATCCACCCTCAGAAGGACCTGCTAACCATTGATGGCAGATTTCAATTGTGATTTCTTTAAATAGAACCATTGACATTATTACTATAGATCTGTAATGAAATTAGACTATAACTGAAATTCCAACAGCACCACAATGTTTATCCAATATAAATCACGCAATAATCAAAAGGGAGCAGTTAAAAAAATCGGAGGCTGTGGCTCACCATGGCTTTGGTTTTGGAATAGAAGGATCCAATAAAATTGGGGGTTTCTTCCTCCTTGAAGCCGATCCCGGAATTGAGAGGGTGCGCGGAATCGTACTCGAAAATGCAGCCGGTGGCGTAATTAATGAGAACCAACCCTCTCTCGCGGCACACATCGGCCAAGCTCAGGGTTCCGACCACATTGGTTCTAATGGTCTCGACCTTATGCGACTCGCACCAGTCGACGTTGGGGCGGCCGGTTACACCGGCGGCGTTGAAGACGTGGGTAGGCTTCACGGCGGCGATGTCGGCCTCGAGGGAGGCGCGGTTCTCGAGGCGACCGGACCCATAAGAAAAATCGATTCCCTGTTGTTCGCAGAGCTTGCCGAGCAAACCGCCAATCCAGCCGGTCCGGCCGTATATCAAAAACCTGAAAGACGCATCCGGAGCTGACCCACCGTCAGCGAGAATACCCATCGCAGAAGGAAGAGGATTGACAGATGATTGAAGAAGAAGAAGAAGAGAGATTCAAAGGAAATGGAAGTTTGGAGAGTGCTTCAGATCCGAGGAATTGAACCAGCTCCACTCTCTGAATCGTGAGGTCTTATATATACCACACACACACTATAAAAGATCGTGTAAATTTAATTTAATTAAAAAAAATACTAATATATCGCTTTCGGTTTCGGGTTGAATTTAGGAATTATCATAATTAATAATATTCGAGATCAAAATTTTAAGTGCCAGATCAGAGCTAGCTCTTAGTCTTCGTCTTAAATTTTTTTGAACAATTCTGAAAATAAAATGAAGCTTCTCTTCCTTATTTTATTTGATTCAATAAAATTGGAACCACCCACTGGTATTGATGAGTTGAGCACGTTGGGTATTTTGTTTGCACTTTTTAAATTTAATATTTTATATTTGAATTTTATTATAAAGTGCACCGATGGATATATTTGTTTCTTTAAAGGAAAAATTAAAAGAAAAAATTGTGGTGAGGTAGTGGAGAGTTGTCGGTGTTGGTGAAGTTAGTAATAGTATTGGATCTAGGATGTACAGCGGGGCACTGACCGTATTATGACGTGTCGCATAACCCACCGTTACGCCGTAAATATCTCAAAATTAACCTTATAAATACTAATTCTGCCTAGTACTTTCTTTGGTTTTTTATTTACTTTTTATAAAACGGTTTCAAAATATATGTCAAATTTTAGAAAACTATAGTGGTACTTGCAAATATGTCAAAACAAAATTAGTAAAATAAGTAAAATAATAATCACATTTTGTTTTTCATGTATAGCATTTTTTCAGAAAAAACGGACGTCTAATTGTAAAATTACAAATTCACTTTTTAATATATCTCTAATATACTACTAATATAATAATGATATATAATTGATTTATTTCTCATATAACTACGATATCTACTCTAACATGTCTTACCATTGATATACGTATGATAACTATTGATTTATCATGCTAATACAATACATATATATGTAATATATATTTGATATGTTTCTAATTTACCATTGATATACAAATGATATATCATTGATATAACTATGGTATCTACTGATATAATTTCTTATATGATTATATGATTTACTACTAATATAACACTGATATATACTTAATATGTTTCTAATTTACTACTTATATATCTCTGATATAACCATTATATCTACTAATATTACTATGATATATGTGTGTTGATATCATACTATTATATCCAATATTTTTTTCGGATGAAAACAATGATGCAAGATTTTTTATTTTTTATTTTTGAAATATAATGTTATTATATAAAAGGTTTATGTGAACTATGCACGTCCAAAAAGACAAGTTAAAATTTGAATATACTTTATAAATTTAAACAGTTGATATCTCTTATATTTAGTATCTAATTAATATTAATATTGAAAAATAGTAGTAATATAGTAATCAACATTATTGATAATACTAGTATATTAATCAAAAAATTGAAATGATAAACTAGAATTTAAACCGTTGATATACCACTAAAAATTAAACATTTGATATATCTTATATTTAGTATATCAGTTGTAAATATATTTAGTATATCAGTTGGAAATATATTTAATATATCATAAATTAGAATTACATCAGATATATATATTATATGTATAATACGTACATTTGATATATATAATGGTATATCTGATAATGTATATCATGGTACATCTGATATTGTATATTAGGGATACATCAAATGTATATCGGAAGTATATCAGAGTTACATTGGATGTAACATTAGATATAGATTTGATGTATATCATATACAAATTTACATTAAATGTATATTAGATATAGATTTGATGTATGATATACATTAGATATATATCATATATAAATTGGATGTATATCAGATATAGATATACATTGGATGTATACCAAATATAGATATACATTAGATATATATCATATATCATAAGGGTAAAATTGGAATAATAAAAATTCCGAAAATAAAAATTCAAATATTTTGCAATCTTTGAAAAATATTTGAATTTTTGAAAAGCTGGTGGAATTTTTTTGAAATACATAAAATATTTTTGCTACCCACTATAATTACCCAAAACTATAAATAAAATGACATCTAATTGACATATATCTCCAAACAAGAAATTGTAAGTTCGAGCCCCTTCGTCACATATTATACTAAAAAAAACATCTAATTCCTTTAGGTTCACTTTATATATTACTCGTTGTTGTACTTAAAAAAAATATAATCAAACGGAATCTCAACTTTTAAGTTTGTTGTATTTTGATCTAAAAAGTTTATGAGGTATATTTTAGTATTTGAACTTTTAATAAATAATCTTGAAAGTTTAGTGCCTAGAATAGAATTTAAATCGCATGACATTCAAAACATTTATTTTAGTCCTAAATTTGATAATCATTTTGGTACTTAACTTTAATTTTCTTTTTGAAATGTTGATAACACTAACTTTGAGAATTCATATTAATGTTTTAACTTGAGGACGTGTTTTAATTATATGAATCAGAAATGAATATTGGATACGCGAGTATTAGGCGGTAAAATAATAAGTTTACTTTTAAAACTTTGTCAAAAGAACAATGGTGAAACTCACTTTGAAATGTACCCTATCGTTTAATTTCCCTCTATAATTCTCTACTTTAAGCAATTATATCTTAAAGCTTATTAAATTATTGCAATTTTCTTACATGGACGAACTATTGCTATTGAACTTTGCTAGGTAATTATTTCAATAATCGTAATATAGAAATTAGTAACATGTAATTCTGGAACACGTTAATAAATTATTTGATGTGGACCATGGTACTTGTAAATAGAATCTTATACCGATATGAGTGCTAGACCGTGTATAGTAAAAATTTTAAGTTAGAACTTAGCTTGAGCTCAGGTGGAGATCGAATTTAATTTGAATGCAAGAGATTGAGTACTTTTGAAAATGTGAACTATACCTTTTATACAAGAGGGGCATGAGAAATGTGACTTTACCATCTCGGTACCCATACCTTACTTTCAAGGACACAAATCCTTCCTCTTTATCTTATCTTGTGGTGTTCATAATTTTATCCTATAACAAAAACCAATAACCATTAGAGGTTTTCTTTTTTTTCAAACAACAATTGGGGTGGGAATTAGAACTTTGAGCAACCTCATGATTGGATACAAACTATGCTCTGATCAACTAAGTGTTAAAGTTAGTTATAACTAAACACCATAAATCACCTCTAATCACAAGATTGTTATCATTACACGTACACCAAGTTAAAGTTATTGCAATTAAACTTGGATATACAAGAGTGATTCATTATAAATTTGTTTACCAATCTAAATATACCTCAAATAGCTAAGACGTCTGTCTCCAATCAAACTCCACATGTAATGCTAATAAAAATAGTGGTTCATTCTCGTGATTTTCCTAACACATTAGATGGCATAACAAGTCTTGCGGTGGGGCGATTGTTGTACTTCTCCCTTGAAATTTTTACCCGCAGCTCTCTCAATAATTCCAAATTAAACTGATTTAGTTAACTTTCTTTAAAATAGTTTTCGAAACAATCTGTAAACCAAGCTCGTTTTCCCCTTCTCTACGAGGATCCAGAATTGACCAAGTTTTCACGTGCTTGTGTGCGAGAAATAAAGGAACTAATTTGTATTTTAAGAAATATAAAGTGAAAATTATCCTTTTAGTACACAAAATTGGAAGAATAGATCAGGAGTTTACAGAACTTGCTTTCTAACTCTCTAAATTTTGAAAAATGTGTTTAAAAGTCTTTCTGCTATCTCGAATATTTTAATAATAACTTTTTTTTATTGTTGACATGAAATTAATTACTTTACTCTTCTATTGTAATATATACTATATAATTTTGTGTCTAGTAAGCCTATAAATATATATATATATATATATATATATATATATAATTTAAGTGTTAGATACGTATCTAACACAGAGCTAAAATTTAAAATATTTAATCATTTTTTTGAGTGGGAAGGTTGTAAAATAAGAAAAACTTAAAAATAGAAGGACTAAACTTTTAATTTAACCACGGATAAATTAGTAAATATTTACTTAAAATAGGACAAGTACGAGAATTTATGAGAAATGGACGTGCTTGGACCGTTTTCCGGGTTTGAGGCCCATGATAACCTTGGGAGCCCATCATTGGGCCCTCACGGCCCACGCACTCCCCGTCGACAGCGATGCCTTATTAAAAAAAATTACAAATAAAAATAAAACCGTTCGAAGCTGTCGTTTCATCGCAACGGAAGTGTCGTCCAGTCCATTTTTTAGTATTCTTTCAATCGAAACTCCCAATGTTCCCCACAGGCTCTCCTTTCAGTTAAGTCCAAATAACAGTTAAACAAGGATTACTAAATATGAGGTTTTTTTAATAAATAAAATATCACTTCACTCTATTTTTCTGTTTTAATTAACTCTTAATATATTGTAATTGTAACAATAATCAACAAAAATAACTAATGACATCATTTGGTCAAAAAAAAAATGTATATGCTTAGATTAAATTAGAAGAAAAAAAATTAAAAGTATATATGTTTTAGTCCCTAATATTTTAGTTATTTTTAATTTATTCCTTATTATTTAAAAAATGTTGTTTAGTTACTTCTATTTTAACATTTTTTAATTATATCATTGATGGTGAATATTAAAATTAGTTGATGTAAAATTTATATGATATAATACTTGAGGATAAGATAGTGCTTGAGGAATCTAACGGGATGAAATCAAAATTTGAAGAAAACTAGCTAATTCAAAAGTTTTTGAAAAATGGAATTATTTTTCTTTTTTTTGAAAAATGAAAATCACGAAACGAACAAAATTCTTGAAGGTTTCCAAAGAATCTCTGGAGATGTGATAGAGTTATTCTTAATGCTTAATCCACCTTATTCAATTAACCAATCAAAACATCCGTTAATTATTTTATTTACACATTCTATCCTCTCCCACATTACATTGCCATGCATGGATCAATAAAATACGTGCAATCAAATTAACCATTCCTATTTTCCTTTTATCAATTATATGAGTTTGAGTATACACCCAATACTTTAATACCATATTAGATTACTGCTAGATGATAAATTAAAGTATAACCTATTTCTTAATTTCTTAGTTCAACAATTACATGTGGCAAAAGAACTATCATGAAAATAAATACCTAATCCACTAAGTTATATTTGAATTGACAATTTAATCTTTTAACTCCAAAGCATAGCAAATTATCATTTATTGCATAAGAACAATACCTGATTTGATAAAATTAATTATGGAAATTATAATTGGCCGGAGAAACTCAAAAAAATGAAAAAATAAACAAAAACATGGAAGCACGAGAAATCTAGAATTTGATGTGTGTTAAAAAAGCCAACAATTTACAACCTTAAAACAAAAGACATGTTAATCCCAATCTGTGTCACAATCCTTATGATCTCTAACCTCATTTTACAGTAAGCTAATTAATCCCATGTTTCTGTCACTCTCTCTTCCATTTCCACCACTGTCTCTGTCAGACAACTTTGACCAAAGCTATAACACATTTCATATAATTTGATGAAAATTTCTTCTTCATATGTCTCTCTTTTATCTCTTGCGCTTGGACTTCAAGGATGTTACTGACTGAGAATTGCTGTGCCAGTTGCGCTTTCTTTGGTTGATGAACCAGTTGTTTATTTGTTTCAGCTGGAGCCCCGTCTCCTCAACGAGCTTCGCCTTGTCGTCTTCCTAAATCGAGAAAAAGACGAACATTACAGAGATTTGAACTCATAATCGATCGTTTCGATACCATGCTAAAAGGATTTTTTTCAGTACTTACAGTTGGGTAAGGCCACTTAGAATGTTGCTGCCACCAGTTTTTCAAAACCGTAGTTGTGTCCCCAGGCAACTTCCCTGCCCTTCTTTTTCTCAATATCTCCTCTCTCACATCTTCAATTCTTGATTTGAAACCCTGCAAAATTTACATAAAGATCACATTATACGCACAAATAAGAACAAGATCCTCTATTATTTCTTGTTTTTTCCTCCTTTATCTGCAATGATGTAATGGATAAAGGTTTCTTTAGCCATAAAAGAGGAACCTGTTTCAGCTCGATCTTCAGTTCCTGCCGAACCCTCTCCATCAATGACCGTTCAGATTCAGTAGGAAGCAGCGGCCCGAACCCCATCATGTCATGGGCGTCGGCGCCCGATTGATCGAGCGAGAAGTCCATTGGGATGTCGTCTTCGTCGTCCGACATTGTTGCACCAGTGCCTTCCCCCAAGCTCACTCCTGAGAAACATGGTAAAAAATAGCATACAAAGTTGGTAAAAGGCACTTCATTCTTTAATAATGGGAAATATTGCTTCAAAGTTGGAAGAATTCAAAGCTTTGATCAAAGTTAACATCAGCGACAACCCAACAAGAGAAATGTCTAAAAACTACTTTGGCGGTGTCAATAATTGGGGCAAAATATTTTGCATTAGAAAACAATACAGAATATAATTATATTTTAGTAACGCCTTCCCCCACACGCACGGCTGGGAATTGACATTAAACCCACATATTATTTGTCATTTCAACATATATATCTTTGAATTTCTCTTCCACCCAAATAACGAATTAAATTAAGCGCATTTCAGGGATAAGATAACAATTTAAATTCATGTGCATGCCTATTGTAACAAGCAATATTATTATTTATTAAAAAAAATCACATCTTCAGCTACTAGCCCTTATAAAAAACTTTATAGCAAAACAAAAATCTAGCTGAATTAATCTAAAATAAACTCTTTACTCAAAAGAAAAGACATTAATGTCTGATCATTTGTACAATAATCCGTAATATGACTTGTTTACTAAATGTTCATCAGTTCTTATTCTTTCAAGAGATCCAAATTTCATAACCCAAAAAAGCCTCCATAAAGTGCAGCTATTTAGTTAAATATTGTCAGGGTTAGCCTCCATTGTCTTTTGGGCGGCCTAGGGTACTTGTATATAAAAGTCAGTTTTTGTACTCAAGACCCTACACCACAGCCCGTAGGTCGGTCCTAAGCAGCTGCCATTGGCAGACACTAATGAATTGGTCCTATGCATTCTACAAATGCTTAGGGTTCAAAAGAGAGACTCAAAAAGTAGAATAAACTGATCATCAGTTCCATACAGGTATAGGAAATTGAGAATGTAGGGACCATTGTAGGTGGGCAGGTCTAATACTGGCAAAAGCAATCAATAAGGCAACTATATTTACTTTATTATAATATTATCTCTCTCTAGTTTCTTTAACTCCCCAATCAACTTCTTGTATGGGCAACATCCCTTTTATTTCAAAACATTGATTCTCTTAATGATATAACTAAAAAGGCTCTCCACCAATGAAGATTTTTTCTCTTTGATGTGTTGTTGGGTATATCCATAACCTCAGGAGTATTGGGAAACTTTGAATGATTAAAAATGATCAGTTGATGATTAAGCTAATCAAATAGGGTAAGTGTAGCTTTATGATCTACCAAGTAGAATCAAAATTTATAGTATTACCAAAAGAATTTCATACTACCCCTATCAATTATTTGCCACATACATATGAACAGGAGTAGATACGGCCGCAGCAATGTCGTCTACCTATACATATTAATGTGTAGAGAGAGGGAAAACAAATTAGCTAGCTAGAGCTAGAGGTTCATGTACTATCTTTATAAAGCAAAGATGAATAATTTATAATAATAGGGGGGAAAATGGAATATTATTGTGGAATTGAGAGTGGAACAAGCATTGCCAGAGCAAGCAACCTTATCGGTTGGTGTCCCTTATTGGTGGTACCCTCACCGAACCCAACAGACTAATCCTTTTCGCAACTACAATCTTGGTATTCACAAGTAGGCCCTTTTGTACCCACTTCCCACAACCCCAAAGCAACCTATGCCCTTTCAAAATTAACTCCTGTAGTACTCCTGTTTATGTTGTTTCCCCCATCTCCTCCCCCAAAATGAGATCACAGAACTTCTGGGTTCTAAGCCAATGCTCTCATCAAGCAAAGGAAAACATGTATAGAGATAAATAGAACATCATTAAAGCTGAACATGAAGTAGAGGAGGAAGTGTATTCAGGGTTTGTTTTTTTCTTTTGGGGGAAATATCTGTGTGTGGGTCTAAGAAGTACCTGTAAGAGCTTGTAAAGTGTTTTCAATTTCACGGCAGGCCATGACGGCTTCCACTGCGTGGACTCTAACGTGCTGTTGGAGCTGCTCTTTGAAAGAGCACAAGACGATCATATACTGCGCCTGAGAAAAATTAAGCATCATAATTAATTAGAACAAGACGAAATTGAGGCAGAACAAGACATGACTTCGATTAAAAATTTGAGAAAAAATTAATATCACCAGAAAGTTGTCGAGGTCTTGGCGCTCGTGAGGCGAAATGGAATGGCCTTGTTGGTGATGCTGGGAAGCGTAAGATCTCAGAATATGGTGCGACTGAGACAACTGAGCATCGATCATCGGAAGCTGATCGATCGGCGTCGCGACGCGGAGGCAAGCGACG